CACGAGCGTCCACCGCGCCAGTCTCGCTCGCGGGCGGTTTCCGCATGTCACGAGCGTCCACCGCGCCAGTCTCGCTCGCGGGCGGTTTCCGCCTGTCACGAGCGTCCACCGCGCCAGTCTCGCTCGCGGGCGGTTTCCGCATGTCACGAGCGTCCACCGCGCCAGTCTCGCTCGCGGGCGGTTTCCGCATGTCAGTCTCGCTCGCGGGCAGTCACGTCCACCGCGCCAGTTCCGCATGTCACGAGCGTCCACCGCGCCAGTCTCGCTCGCGGGCGGTTTCCGCATGTCACGAGCGTCCACCGCGCCAGTCTCGCTCGCGGGCGGTTTCCGCATGTCACGAGCGTCCACCGCGCCAGTCTCGCTCGCGGGCGGTTTCCGCATGTCACGAGCGTCCACCGCGCCAGTCTCGCTCGCGGGCGGTTTCCGCATGTCACGAGCGTCCACCGCGCCAGTCTCGCTCGCGGGCGGTTTCCGCATGTCACGAGCGTCCACCGCGCCAGTCTTGCTCGCGGGCGGTTTCCGCATGTCACGAGCGTCCACCGCGCCAGTCTCGCTCGCGGGCGGTTTCCGCATGTCACAAGCGTCCACCGCGCCAGTCTCGCTCGCGGGGGGTTTCCGCATGTCACGAGCGTCCACCGCGCCAGTCTCGCTCCGGGCGGTTTCCGCATGTCACGAGCGTCCACCGCGCCAGTCTCGCTCGCTCGCGGGCGGTTTCCGCATGTCACGAGCGTCCACCGCGCCAGTCTCGCTCGCGGGCGGTTTCCGCATGTCACGAGCGTCCACCGCGCCAGTCTCGCTCGCGGGCGGTTTCCGCCTGTCACGAGCGTCCACCGCGCCAGTCTCGCTCGCGGGCGGTTTCCGCATGTCACGAGCGTCCACCGCGCCAGTCTCGCTCGCGGGCGGTTTCCGCATGTCACGAGCGTCCACCGCGCCAGTCTCGCTCGCGGGCGGTTTCCGCATGTCACGAGCGTCCACCGCGCCAGTCTCGCTCGCGGGCGGTTTCCGCATGTCACGAGCGTCCACCGCGCCAGTCTCGCCGCGGGCGGTTTCCGCCTGTCACGAGCGGTCTCGCTCGCGGGCGGTTTCCGCATGTCACGAGCGTCCACCGCGCCAGTCTCGCTCGCGGGCGGTTTCCGCATGTCACGAGCGTCCGCCGCGCCAGTCTCGCTCGCGGGCGGTTTCCGCATGTCACGAGCGTCCACCGCGCCGGTCTCGCTTGCGGGCGGTTGCGCCAGTCTCGCTCGCGGGCGGTTTCCGGCATGTCACGAGCGTCCACCGCACCAGTCTTGCTCGCGGGCGGTTTCTGCATATCACGAGCGTCCACCGCGCCAGTCTCGCTCCCGGGCGGTTTCTGCATGGCACGAGCGTCCACCGCGCCAGTCTCGCTCGCGGGCAGTTTCCGCATGTCACGAGCGTCCACCGCGCCAGTCTCGCTCGCGGGCGGTTTCCCCATGTCACAAGCGTCCACCACGCCAGTCTCGCTCGCGGGCGGCTTCCGCATGTCACGAGCGTCCACCGCGCCAGTCTCGCTCGCGGGCGGTTTCCGCATGTCACGAGCGTCCACCGCGCCAGTCTCGCTCGCGGGCGGTTTCCGCATGTCACGAGCGTCCACCGCGCCAGTCTCGCTCGCGGGCGGTTTCCGCATGTCACAAGCGTCCACCGCGCCAGTCTCGCTCGCGGGCGGTTTCCGCATGTCACGAGCGTCCACCGCGCCAGTCTCGCTCGCGGGCGGTTTCCGCATGTCACGAGCGTCCACCGCGCCAGTCTCGCTCGCGGGCGGTTTCCGCATGTCACGAGCGTCCACCGCGCCAGTCTCGCTCGCGGGCGGTTTCCGCATGTCACGAGCGTCCACCGCGCCAGTCTCGCTCGCGGGCGGTTTCCGCATGTCACGAGCGTCCACCGCGCCAGTCTCGCTCGCGGGCGGTTTCCGCATGTCACGAGCGTCCACCGCGCCAGTCTCGCTCGCGGGCGGTTTCCAGCCAGCCTCGCGCGCCCAGTCTGCGCCACACCGTCGTCCCCCCAGCCAGCCAGTCTCGCTCGCGGGCGGTTTCCAGCCACGCCCAGTCTGCGTCCCCCCAGCCAGCCAGTCTCGCTCGCGGGCACTCGCGCACTTAGTCTGCACCACACCGCCGTCCCCCCAGCCAGCCCCACACCGCCGTCCCCCCAGCCAGCCTCGTACGCCCGGTCTGCACCCCCAGCCGGCATCGCACGCCCGGTCTGCAGCACAACGGAATGGAAATCCCTTCTTATCTCCGTCGTCACAGCTTGTATCGCTCCCAGGCACCTTAAGAGAAAACCTAAAGCAGAACCCAAGCATCAGAGATGCTTTTGGGAAAAACCCGAGTTATCCACCTCAGCCTTCAGGAGTCCTAGGCTCCGAGTTTTTGCGTTACTTCCATTTCTGCTTCCAAATATGTTTGGTGTATTTGCCCCTCTCGGTTTTTTAACGGGGACTCGATTTCACGACAGGGCATCCTTTTTTCTTAAGCGCACGAAGGTATAAGCTTAAGTGGTGGATAACGGTTTCCTGCGGCCTGCGGCCCCAAACATGACCATGAGCGTCGTATCTTTTTTGGGCGGTTTCCCGAATGGTCAACCTATGTACTCCAAGTACCCGCTGTTTTCAGGGTATTTGTTGAAAAACCCATCAGGTAAATACCTCCTTTTGTAGTAGAGGGCCGACATCATACCCCCAAAAAAGGCGGGTATTTAGAGTAGGGGGTAAAGAAGCTTTTGACCAACCCCATGCCAAAAGGGGTTGCCATCTGATGCCAAAAGCCCGGGTCTTCGGGGCATCCACGCCACTCTGGACGCTGCATGCTGGAGCATGCCCCCGCAAAAGCCAAGAGGACCCCAGATCCTCTGGAGTGAAACACCCATGCGGGTGTTTTTTCTTTTCTTTTGATTCGGTTTCCCTTTTTTGGTTGGTTTTAAGGGAAAACCCAAAGGGAAACCATCATGTTGTTGGGGCCCCCTTAAAACAAAAGATGCATTGCCATGAAATCAATGCGTTTCCGGACCTCCGCTTCTGGGTTCTTCTGGGCGGTCGGGCTTCAACCAGCTATAGTCAAGCCTTCCCAACTCAGGGTTCCATTTCGTTTGCTCAAATGGGATTCTGTCCCAAATTTTTGTCAGCAGCCAAAGGCTGCGAAACTGAATGAAGCTGCGCTCTCGGAGACAAAGTGACAAGTGGAAAGCGAATGGAGAAAAATAAATCCGCCGAGCCGTGCAGACGTCGAACCAACCCCCTGGTCCCCTGTAAAGAAGCCAAGAACAGGTTGCGGAAAAAACAAGCTCGTGGTTTAAAGATGCCCCCTACTCCAAGTATCCTGCTTTTTGTTGATGGCATTTTTCGAAAAGCCCGGGTTTCCATGGTAAATACCCCCTTTTTTACTAGAGGGTTAACATCATGCCAACTGAAGAAAAGAAAACGATTCGGGCATTTGGAGGGTGTTGGGTCTTCGGCCTTCGGTCCGGAAGGCCCTTGGCCCTTTCGCTGTGCCCCTTCTGTTCGCAGAAAGCGCTTTGCTTTCGTCTCAGGCGCCCGTGGAACTAACGTGGCAGTGGCAAAAAAAACTAAAGAGCTAGGGTGACGCAGGTTTTGGTACCCATGTTTCCGCTTACCGATCGGGAAGCCATTTTGGAATTCCGGTTTTTTGAGCCATACCCACGTTTCTTCGTGAGGCGATGTTTTGTTCCAGCCCCTGTTGGCTGGCTTCAAGGGAAGATGAGAGAGCACTTTTATCGCATTTTGCCGAGGGATGTTCGGACTGAACAACTTTTGGCCAACTCATTTGTTTTCCGCATTAAACCACTAAAAGTATATATATATATAACTTTTATCAGGCAGGGGAGCAGAAAGCAACCGAGAAAAGGAAGCCGATGATATTGGGGCTCCAACATGTGGGTCTTGGCACCAAATAGCTTGAACGGGTGCCATTCTCAGCTGAGTTTTTTTTGTTTTTTTTGGGCGGATCACTAAGCAAGCCTGGAATGCGCCTAGGATTAAACCCGGCCGCCCCCCCCCCCCCCCCCCGTAACCAAAAAAAACAATCACAAGTAAGAACAACAAGAACAGTCAACAACAAAGACAACAACTCATGCGGGCCTCGCGCTGCGGCGCACCAATTGCCGTGGCCGCTTTGAGGGGCGAATGACTGACAGGTTTTTACTCCCTTCATAACTAAATATGGTTTCAAAGTACTCCGCAAGCCCAACTTCTGATACTTCTGACTCTTACGGCACTGCATGCTTCAAACCGGGTCGGGCCCATTTGCGATTCGACTTCGATGTACTTTTGAGAGCGTACCACGCCAGGGTGAACACCCCTCCCGTGTGGATGGAGGCCTCGAGGAATCCTTTCCAACGCCACGTAAGAATTCTTTGCATTACTGGGTCCCCCAGCGATCGGTGCCCTTTCTCACGCCTTTTTGGGGGGAGGGTTCCCTTACTAAAATAGACTACAGAGAAAAGGGTACCCTTATTCTAACCTCTCTACTAGAGGACCTAGATTAGCGCCAGGTGTTGATAGCGCCCGAGTCCCTATAGGGAACCCTTGCTCATGACGGTCTTCCTGTCTGGTTTGATAGAGATGAAAGTTTTGTGCCCTTTATTTCGAGGATTCGGACCCCCAAGCTGGTGGGTTTCCTCTTGGTTTCCCTAAACACTGGTTCTTAGATCGTGTGGTTCCCGCCCTTGGTTACCTACACCAGGTTTGCATGGATCCATTGGCAAAAGGAAGCCAAGCATTTCTTCACTGTTCTTGGATCAGTCTTCTTTTTGCCCTTCCGATTTTTCTTCTTTTCTTTTCTTGGTTCTGTTCCTTTTAGGTTTCTGGGAAGCTGCAACTGTTCCTTTCTGTTCGATTTTTCCTGTTCCTTTTGTGTTCCTTTCATGATTTTTCCCTCTTCCGCTCCTTTCCTCTTGACGTCTGGGCAGCGGTTTTCTTTGTTTCTTCTTGGCCCCCAGCGCCAGCGCCAAAGCGTTGGACTCGGCGTGAGGTCCCTGGAGGCCCTGCTCCGCGTGTGCCGATCCGCCGGGGCGCTCGTCCACTGCGCCGGTGCGATGGGCTGCGCCCAAAAGTCTTTGTTCGACTTCCCCAGAAGTAGCCCGGGGCCCCTCCTGTTTTTCTGGTCTTTGGTCTTCTTGGATCTTTGTGGTTGGTCCCTTGGTTTTCTACTCACCAGGCAAATATATATATATATATACGTATATATATATATATATTGTTCGCTGGGCCCCTTCTTCCAGCCAAGAAAAAAGGGCGCCCTGGGCGAGCTCGCGAAGACCAAGGTAAAAAGCAGCCAGAAGGCAGATGGCCTGGTCGAAGTGGGGAAATGTTTGGATTCCAGAGTTGGATTCGGCCTTCTCCTTTGTGTTTTCTTTTATCCTAGGGGTTGATTCCGATTCCATTCTTTTCAACCATCGTTCTTTTCTTTTTTTCCTGGGTTCTGATAGTTTTCTGAATAAAAAATCCCTGGGCAGAATGGAAATGGACGTGTCCCCTAGATTCATGTGAAGCAAAGAGTGCCGAGCCTCAAACAAATGCAAAAACCCCAGTGCGGTTTCACGGATGCCTTTCTGGGCCCAAGTGGGTCGCGTTTTAGCCTCTTGGTTTTTAGTGGGGTTTTCCATTTGGCACACAAGTTAAGCTTTTGGCGGGGGATCTGAGGGCCCTCCTAAATCAACCACAAGCCAGAGGTCATGGCTTCAGATGTTCAGCACCGCGTCAAAGGATTTTTCAAAGGACCTTCGGCCTCAAAATGGGAGCGACAGGATTGATAATTTACCCCTACTCCAAATACCTTCCTTCTTTTTTTGGTATCGGATCGGTTTTCCATGGTCAACACCTCTTCTTGTACTAGAGGGTTGACATGATACCAACTGAGCAAAGCGGGTATTTGGAGGTTATAGGGGTTGCTTAAACCACCAACGAACAGAAGGACCTTTGCAGAACGGATGTCCCCTAGTGAAAAGAAGGACACCTATCAGAAGGACACGCCTAAAAATGTGGGTTCCCTTTGAAAAGGGTGTCGACTCGACCCCAAAAGGCTTTCTGCCCTCGAGAACACACACACACCTACCTTAGCGCGCACACACACAGAAACACAGGCCCACACCCAAATATGGTTGCCAGAAGATGGCAGTGGGTCAAAACCAATGGGATCCCATTTTCGGGTAGTTGCACCACTCATGTTAGTCTATTTCTGATTTTAGTGGGGATTGGGGATTTGACCCTTGGCCAAATAGCACAGCTGCATGTGTAGTTGATAAACGTCTAGGTGAAGCATGGCAACTTGGCTCCGGCTCTCGTCGCGAGGTGAAGCATGTCCCTCGGCTCCTCGCGAGCATGAGGCAATCGGGGTGTGTGCCGGGTTTGGCTCGGAAGATCTTGGTGCGAAATCGGTGGGCAATGTGGGAATGAACCGTTTGGGGTCCCCTTAAAGGACACCACCAGTTGGACGGTTTATAAGGGTCATTCCATGTCTCATTCCCTGCTGAGCGCCAGCAAGTCGAGCAACTTTCAAAGACTTCCAGAAAGCGTTTCAGAATAGTTGTTGTTTTGCCCTGGCTTTGACGGGAATGGATATCACTGCTGGACATATGTTTGCGGAAGGAGGTCCAAAGGCTATGTCGATGTTCAGTGGACATTCCCCTGTCACCTGGGGTATTCTCACCCAGGTGGCAGCCAACCACTTCCTAACTTGGCAAGGAACAACCGCTTCACTGTTGTTTGATCAAGTTTTGTTTTCCTTTTTCTGCTTTTTTTGGTTCTGTTCATTTTAGGTTCGGGGGCTGCAAAAAAAGTCAAGCCCGAGGGTTGTGAAGTCCAAGTTGAAAGAAAACATCCCCCAGTTTGCCCGAACGTTTTGCATCCGCAAGTCTGGAGCCAGATGGTTTTGTCCCAGACTGAGGAGGACTTGGAAAAAGCCCAAAAAGGTTGCTTGCAAAACCCGGCGCTGCGGGGAAATTGAGCACACGCACGAAGAAGGGTACCCTCAAAAAGGCATGGGTTTGTGAACCCCCAACATGGGTTCTTGTCCTTTTGCTTTCCCCTTAGAACCAAAGGGGGTGCTCCTGAGAGAACACTTGGCCTGCACGGCTCCATACCCGCGATCCCATCCCGTTTGAACTAACCGGACTCATAGTTTTTTGTTCTTTTTTTTTCTTTTTTCTGGGTCTAAAACGCCCAAGCCCTCCATGTTTGTTTCTGGGTCCAAAAAAGCTCCAAGCCCTCCATTTTTTTCTGGGTCCAAAAAAACTCCAAGCCCTCCATTTTGTTTTCTGGGGCTAAAAAACCCAAGCCCTCTTTTAAACCAACCCGAAGATCATTGCCCTCAAAGCAGGTGTTTTCCGAAACCACCCCAGCAAGGATGCCCCGAACTTGCCGGTTCCCAGCCGTGCGATTCCTGAGGTTTGTAGGTGTTCAGCGGGCTTAGCGGTTGGGTTTCCGAATTTAGCAGGCACAAGTTCTTCTTGGGCAAGGATCCTATTTCACTCCTATTTTCTTCCCCAGAATTAGCTCCCCTTTTTGCTTTTTTGCTTTTTTGGGTCCCTTTCTTTTCCACTAGCCAGGCAAAAAAGATCTCGTTTTTTTTGATGGGGTCCTAGTCCTCCAGCCTAGTTTTATTCGATCTCCTATTTTACGTGGCTCCCAGCGATTCATCCGGTTCCTTAGCCTTTTAGATCCTTTTAGTGTTTAGTGGCAATTTCCATCTCACTCACTAAAAGTTGAACCTTTAGCGGGGGATCTGAGGGCAGGGTAGCTTATTCTTGGTTCTTCTCGGACATCAGAAAACCGGACAGCCCGGATCTGTGAGTTCCCCCTGGCACGCTGAGGGCAGCTCCAGAACTGGGTCCAACGGGAAGTTTGCGCGAAGCGCGGGTGAGAAGGATGGGGGTCAACCAGCAGAGAAATCCTGCGCTTTTCAATGTTTGATTCTTTGCCCCCGGACAAAAGTAAAACAAATAAATATAAGTTAAAAAAGCCAAAAAGAAGTAGCAGGACACCGCAGAGGCCTTTGTTGGTCATGACTGGCACATGTTCAACCAGACTTGGGACCGGCAAGGACCTTGAAGTGGGAAGGACTCATTCAACATCCGCGCCACCGCAATCTCCAAATACCGGCCGCTCTTATTCGTGGGAATTTTGTTTGAAAAACCCATCGGTTTTCCGCGGCAAATACCTCCTCTTGTAGTAGAGGGTTGACATGATACCCTAACAAGAGTGGGTATGCGGAGAAGGGGGCCAGTACCTGTAATGAATACAGACAGTGGCCCAAGTATTCCGGCTCCCCAAACTGGTGAAAGGACCTCATGCCCAACACGTGTGGCTATGACTCTTCAGAATGATCCCCCATTCAATTGGACACAACTCCCCATTGATGATTCTCAAAGTAAGCAATCACGGCAGCAAAAAACGCGGGCACAAACGCATCAGCATGTTGCATTCTTGATTGGTGCGCAAGATTGTGCTGCTTTGGTGCCGAGTTCCCGTCCAGTTCCCAGCGAATCCGGTTCCAGAAAGGCTTTTGGTGGTGTTCAATTGGCTTGGTTGGGTTTCCACGTTCAACCCAGAAGTTAGTCTTACATTTGCTTAAGAATATGTTTATCTTCCCTTGTTGGTAAAGGGAATCTATCACTGAAAATATGTCTTATTCTTTCCAGTCTTAAGCCTGTTTGAAAGCAGTCACTAGGGGATCCAGTTGGACTGTCACTATTTGGGGCTACCACACAAGACTAGGGTTCAACCCCCATTAAAAGAATGGTTAACCCAATTTTCATGATGACAATCCTTGGGTAAACGTTGTGGTTATGTGAACCCAACCATTGTTTGAATGGTGGCCTGCCTGAACCCCAGGGAAAAGACCTGAACCTTTCGCCCTTCCGCGCCTTCGCACGCTCTTGCGCCTTCGCGAGGGCCTGTGCGTCCTCGCCCCTGAGAAAGGCCCCCGAGGCAGGGGGAATTCCTCTTCCGTGTCAAGGGCGAAAGGGCTGAAATCCATGGATTTTGGTGTGACGATATCGCCAAATCCCCCAAATCCCTAGGCTTTTGTGAGCATGGCGTGGAAAGGACCTTGAAGCAACGCGTGATTCGAGATTTGTCCGGTAGGGAGCTATTACATCTTTCGTTCAGAGGAAGCGCAGCCACTAGCTCAGAACACGAGAGCCAAGACGTTAAACTTCTGCACATCTAGTTGTTGCCAAATAAATGGGTCTGTCTTTTTGGTAGAGGCTCGGTACCCTTGTTGGGGGCTGCTTTTGTTCGGGAAACCCAAGGGAAAATCGCAGCCCATTTGCGGGTCCAATCCCTATTTTAACGGATGCATTTCTGGCACCCATGTCGCGAACAAAAGATCTTCCGCAAACGGAAGCCAAGGAGAGACCTCTAACTCAATGGGCACCGTTCGTCCGTCGCGAAAACGGAGGGCTGCCACCCCGCTTCCCCCCCCCCCCCCCGGCGCGTTTTGGGACTTTGGTGTCTTTCAGAACCCTGAAAGGGGGTTCTTAAAGAGGGTCATCATTGTGTCAACCCACGACATGAGGGGCGTCTCTAATTCTTGGGCAGTTGGTTTCCTTTAAACCCGCGCACGTTTCTTCCAGCAATCTGTTGTAATTTGGGAAGGACAAGGGGAACTCACTGAATTTCCTTGTTGGCCTAAGGCGCCTCACTCCTTGTCCCATGAATTACGGGTATGGCTCATGTCGGAAAGATCCAAGTTGTAGCTTCGTTGGGAATTCCAAATACCCGGCCGTTCCTTTAGTTGTGTTTTGCCTTGTTGTGATCGGTTTTGCAGGGTAAATGCCGATCCCCTTTTTTAGTACTAGAGGGTTGACATGATACACCCACTGACAAAAAACGTCGGAATTTGGAGGGGGTTACCTCATTTGCTGGTCTACCCGTCGGCCGAATAGACCCGAATAGGCCTTTCAACCCCACCCGAGTTTTTTCTCGGAGTGAAGTCGCGCAAATGCCAAGAGCATTCCAACTCAGAACCACTCTGGGTGTTTTTTTTTGTGTTTTTTTTTGGGATTCGGACCTTGCCAATTCCATATGTTGCCAAACTGGACCAGCCGAGTTGCAAAACTGCCTGGTGCAGTTGCCAAACTAGGTGCCAAACTCGCCGAGAAATTGGGCACCGTTGGTTTCCATGACCCCGGCGTGTTCCACGCCGTCATCCCTTTTGGGGGCTCCAAACTCGCGGGTTTTGGCAGGGCTCCTTAAAAGATACCGTTTGCCCTTTTGCCCACCAAAACAAAAGTAAAACACAATTTACAAGGCAATGTTCAGGTGCATAATGTAACGATCCCTGTTTGGGTTGGGACATTTTATTCACGAAACCAGGGATCGCAAAGGGTTGAGGATTCTTCAGCCAGGCGAACGAGTCCAGTCCCCGAACATTTTTTGGTTTGGCTCGTTTGTCTCGCTCGTCGGCCTGTGCGCACATGCCGCGCGGGTCCCGCAGGCGGCGCACAGTTTGATCGTGTTGGAGGTCTTAGCGGACCAAGGCGAATGGCGAAAAAAAACGGGCGCTGAGGGCACCTTCTTTTTGGGTGGGTTTAAAGGGAATCCCAAAGAAAAGGCGCTATTTGTTGGGTTCTTCTATTTTGATACCTGATCTTTTTTCTGGGGAGGGGTAGCGGATGAAACACAACGCTTGCAAAAAGAGTGGTTTCGTTTTGGCT